TTTTTTTTTTTTTTTTTTTTTTTTTAACCCAGAGTCCGATGGACCACGGATCAGATATTAAACTGATCAGAACAGATACTACACTTGATCTTAGCCAAAAGACGGGACGGTCAACTTGTCTTCTCCCCCTTCTCCTCTCCTCCGTTCCGCTCTTCTTCCCCATTTTTCACTCGAACATTGTGGTGGATATACCCAGCTTACCCACAGTAACTGCCTGCTGTCAATTTTTGTTTGCCTTGTGGTGGGGGGGGGGGGGGGGGATGGTGTCGTGGGGGAGTGGGGGAACGGGGAGGTGGTTGGGAATGTGTGTGTAGACACTAGAGGACGATTCTCGCTTCATCGAGTTCTATAATCTAGTGTTCATGCAGTTCAACCGAACTGAATCGGGCGAATTGGTCCCACTGAAGAACAAATACATCGACACAGGGTTGGGGCTCGAACGGATGGCTCAGATTCTTCAGGAGGTCTGTTGCTTCGTCCCTCTCCTGTTTTCGACCTCTACGTTTGCCTGTTTTGCTATCCGCAGTCTTCCTCATTCTTCCCCTCCCCCTCCCCTTTTCGGTTTTCTCCCCGGAAACCTGGTGCCAGTGTGGTAGAGGAGGTGATATGAGCATCCCCTTATAGCAGCAGCTGCTACGGGTAGCTCCGGTCTATTGGTGGGGAGCGGAACCTGCGGGAAACTGGGTCCAGCGTCTCATCAACATCGATGCGTCTGCCACATGCTTCCCGAATTTGTGTCTCACACTCCCCATTTTTTTGAACTGTACTGATTTCGGGCTCGATAGCAGATCCGAGCAGAGCGTAATTTGTTCGCGGAGGTGCAAAGTTGTGCTGCGCTTTCTCAATGCCCGGTTGCAGCCTTTTCCTAGACCCTATAGACCCTGAGCTCCACACCTCGAGGCTCGAACACTAAACTATGAATTGTACCCCTAAACCCCTAACTAAAAGATGAGCATCAACAAGATGAAAGCCAATGGCCAGTCCGTTGGTCAGCGTGTTGGCTGGAAGTCCACCCCCCAGAGATGCTGAAACCCCCCTGCGCCTTGAACCCTAAACCTCAAACCCTAAACCGTCAAACAAACTGAAAGATGAGCATGAACATGGTGAAACCCACCTCCCAGTCCGTTGATCGTTGCGTTGGCTGGAAGCCCACATGCCAGTGACATCAACTCGAAGCTTTAAACCCTTAACCCAGGCACTAGTCCTTTTTTTGGAAACCAAAGCCCTAAACCCTAATCTTCAAGTGCTGAACCAAAACCCGAAGACCTAAAACTTGAGACCTAAAATCGTAAAAATCCAAGTCTTGAACTCTGAAAATGAACCCTAACCTTAGCCCCAACCGCTTAACCCCCACTGAATAGTGAACTCTAAACCCTAAGTCCCCAATCCTTAACCTAGATCCTAATCCCTAAAACCTATTCCCTAAAACCTAAGCTTGAGAAGTCCGCAATTCTTAACCTAGATCCTAATCCCTAAACCCTATTCCCTTAAAACCTAAACCTGAGACGTAATCTACATACTACTAAAGCTGGGTCTCGCGTGACGCCGACGCCAAACCCGGTTTCCAGGTTTGGGACCTTGGGTGGTGGGCCCAGGCCAGGAAAAAAAGAAAAAAAAAGAAAAGCGCGACTGTCGGCCGCACGAACAGGCGGGGCCTGGGGAGGCCTGGCGGACCGTCTTGCGGCCATCGGGTCCGGTCCGTTGCCCGCCCGCTGTTGGGAGAGATCCGTCTTGCGCCCGTCAGCTGTCGTGACCGCCCGCTGTCAAGACAGATCCGTCTTGCGCCCGTCCGCTGTTGAGAGAGATTCGTCTTGCGTCCGCCCACTGTCGCGCCTTCGCCCCCGCTCGCCCGCGGGCTTGCCGTTTGTGAGTGTGTGTGTGTGTGTGTGTGTGTGTGTGTGTGTGTGTGTGTGTGTGTGTGTGT